GGAAAGAAACTAAAAACCAAAATATTTGATATTACACATTTCCACTCGATCTAAAAACGAACAGCTGAATTTGATAAAAAAAAAAAAAAAAAAAAAAAAAAAAATAGGCAAAATGGTTTTTCGCCAGGACTTTAAAGAATGCCTAAAACTACTTGTATTTTGTTTAAAGTGTAGAAAAGGAAGCTGGATTGTAATCTTTAAGGACAAAACTAAATTAGGATGATTATCTTCATATCTGTGCATCATATGACCCATATTTCAACTATTGAAAAAAATATCCTAAGTATTTGTCATGCTAAATATTGTATCTAACACCCATACACGCTAAAATTTATTGATCATTCCAGATGAAAATTTTCATTGCTTCAAAATCATAATCGACAATACATTTTAACTATATTTTAAACATATATTTCTTAACCATATATTGGTTTATATATATATTTCTACATGTTTCAGGGAAATAAATGTTTTCTCCGTGTGCTTTTCATAGCCATTTCTTCTCACATGATTCCTTGTCATATCAATTTATTCATTTTGTCACTTTATAATCAGGGTTAGAAACTCCCTAAAATTACAACTGGCAAATAATTGCGAGAACCAAGAAAGTGAACTTGCAATTTTATAAGACTACTCGCAATTTTCATATAAAGTTAAATTTATATAAATTAAATACATGTAACTTAAGGAAAAAGTAACTACTCTACAATACACAAAATACAACTACAGTGTGACTTTTATTTAAATTACTAATTTAAATCAAAAGCATTTTGTTCTGCCATATTATATAATTTTTCTACAGTTTCAATGCAAAAAAAGTCAACTCGCAAGTTTTTGCGAGTTACCTAATTTTTAACTCGCAATTTGGGAATTCTTACTCGTGTTTTGCGAGTTGCATATAGTGAATTTCGAACCCTGATAATCATTTTTTACCTGGAATTCTTTTCGTAAGGTACTTTGATTTGCTGGCTCATCAGTAGTCATGGGCCCGGCCTTTTTTGTAAAGTCTTCGATGGTGTTGATGTTAACAGGCGACTTAAATATTTCATTCAGCGCAAGAAAAACCACCATATACTGTTCCTGATTTTAAGGGAAAAATTTAAGTTGATAAGAATGGATTGAAAAAAAAAAGTAAGGAATCTCTCTTCTCTTCTTGGAATCAAGGAAAAAAAATGAACAGGAAGAAACATATGTCCTCACAGTTGAACCTTGGTTTGAATGTTTTGTAAATGACTTTGGAATTTATAACATCCATGGGACAGAAATCCGTTTTATATTTTCAGAAGTTCGAACACGACTGAATATGTCTAAAAACGATGTCGTATGAGTGATATAAAATTATTTTTAGGAAAAACTTCTCATACTGGCGGCCTAGGCGTGAAATAATAATTTAGCGGTCGAAACGTCACGGTGTAGCAATTGAGAACAAAGTTTTCAGCAATACATTTGGAGATTTTTTTTTTATCTTAATCTCTATCAGTATGATTTATTTACTCTATCTCAAACCTGCCAGGACTTTTTTTACATCACTCTTCGTGAGGGGAAGGAAAATCGAGTTTTACCGCACATTTGATATTCTTTTACACTCTGACAAAATGTCACTTTGAATTTCTTTCATATCGTGACAAAATTATTACTTTAATTCAATAAATGTAACAGTGATTCACTGTTCAAATCTTAGTTAAATATTCAAATAAAGTAAATGAATAAACAAATGAAATCAATATTTAAACAAAAGCTCACATAATCAAAAATATAGGGAAAAATAAAGATTCCATGAAACATTATGTGTTAAAAAAAAAGAAAAAAAAAAAAACATACGTAGGTTTGCACCATGTTCATTCTGTTTTCCCTCATTTTCTTTACATACTCGGCTACGTTGACTTTCTTTCTCTTTCGACCTATTCGTTCTAAAGCGTCCAACGCTATATATGTCCCTGTTCTTCCTATCCTCGCACTGTAATGATGATAAAACATATAACACAGTGACTTATGATAAGGTCCGAAACATCGAAATATGCTGAGATATTTCTTTAAGTGACATCAAGTCGATATTCACTATTACCACTAAACTGTATTTGCAAAAATGTACCTGCAATGAACAATTGTTGGTAGTTATTCTGATTGGTTCCTGTTCTCGTCACGTGATCAAGGAAGACAATAAGACAAAGGGGATCAGGGGTTCCATGGTCTGGCCAAGCTGTATAATGGTACTGAGTCACCGTTCGTGACTCCTTTGACTGAAGTAATGAATGAGATGAGATTGTTTTTTGAAAAAAAGGGGGAAAAAATACAAAAAGAGATTGATAAATTGATTGCAACATTAAGTAAAATCTGAAAAAATAAGAATATTTGTCACCGATAACTATGTAAATTCTGATATTTATTTATGTTGACTTTTGAGTTTTCTGTTTAAGCTTACCTCATTGTGCCTAGCAGTCATCTTTCGTACAATGTAGAAGGCGTACTCTTTTTCCTCTGTCAATTTTACAGACACAGTGCCGTAATTACGGTTCTTATTTACATCTGGCCAATATTGATGACATTTGACCTAACAAAAAAGTATTAATACAACATTAAAATACTTCTGGCTTTGCTTTGACACACGTGTTGCTTTATTATGATCTCATTGGAATCTTGACTGGCACGAAATAGAAAAGAATTAAGGAGTAAAGCAAATATCTTTTGGCTTTAAAATATATATGAGAGACCTCAGACTTCTTACAAAGTATACATACCTTAGTTCCTTCTTTCAGATTTGTCAACATGACAATAGAAAATACATTTTCTTGCCAAATCATTTCCCAAAAATCGCCAAGTGTATTCTGCTTAGGTCCTACACGAGAAACAAAAACAAAAGCAACAACTGCAACAATTGCCAGAAAAAATATTCCTTTAATGGAGGAGGATCCAATTCAATGCACATTGATGCTCTGTAATTGTCCAATATTTACTCAAAATTATTCTGTAATTTTAATTCAATTGTTTTAATAACATCTGTTTGAGCTTTATCTGGAACAAAACAAAAAAAAATATCCCCCCCCCCCCCAAAAAAAAAAAAAATAATAAATAAATAAATAAACAAAAAAAACCCAAAAATGATTAAATTTAAAACTGATAAATATAACATGTGACTTTTGAAGCATATGTACCTTGTGCTGCGATATACTCTCTTTCTCTATCTGCACCCTATAAAATACGAATCAAATGTTATACATGTCTTTGAGAGGCACAGACAACGGATTATGAAAATAATTTTAAAGGGAAGATTTTGACTCAGAAAAAAAATATAGATTTGTTCATTGAAAGGGAGTTGATTCGTAAAATTCTATCATTGGTATTATATCATATCACTATTGAAACCTAACTGTATAAGTGGCAGATGTGGTTACCTCAATATAGTTTGCATTGATGTAGTCGGATCCTGATTCTGTTCTCAATATAACTCTGGAATGGTCATCTATAATGAAGGAAAGAATTACATCAGTATTCTAATATCGTTTGTAACTATAAGGAAAAAAAATATCTATATCACTTCAAACAGGTTTAGACTTCAAGCATCCATAGGTTCGAAGACCGACAGCAAGGTCAAAACCCAAAAAGATGTAGGTGTCAGTTACACTAAGAGGTTACAGTTTACATATATCATGTCCAAAAAAAATCATCTATATCGTATTCTTTCGAAGATGTTTCTTATAAGTTTTAAATTGCTATGTAGGATCAAAAAGGTTAAATTGCTTCTACCCTGTGCACAATTCAGCATAAACTTGATAGAATACTACCTGGCTAGAGTGTTTGCATAAAGTACTGTAGCTATGCGTTTGCACAGAAATCCAAATTTTCTTTTCTTGTATGTAATCGGTAATTGTTGATCACCCTATTAAAATGAACAACAAATTTCAAGGGTCCAGCTTTGAAGGGGCTATTGGATGTTCTATTCACAGCAACTGCATGCCCGTTAGTCTACTTTTCGATTTTTTTCTCTTTCTTATGATTTTTGCATTCGTTTTACTCTGTATCTATTTATTTGTTTAATGATGAAATCATAACGCTTACTCTTCTTTGGAAGGTTATTTTTTTCCCTTTAATAGGCCTCATATTCTGCTCACACGAGCCTCAACCAGCCGCTTAAACGACATTTGCCAAAATATTGCTTTGGTATTCTTTTATTAATCACTGGTCGTCTGCTAGAATTATCTCGTGATTTGTGACTGAGTTATTAATTATATAACATCATTAGAAATATTATATTATAAAAAAAAAACTTTGTGAGCAAGTTTAAAAATTAGTGGCATTTGCGCTTGTGATTACTTTTCATTTTTTATCTCTTAGTGTATGACAGCTACTTGATACTTTCATGGATTGATTGATTGATTTTTGTTTTACGTCCTATTCAAGAATTTTTCACTCATATAGGGACGTCACCTTATTCCAAAAAAGGGCTTACTCGGCATTCAGCGTTATTTAGCTGTAAGGGTTTTCTATCGTGCCAACGCCTGAATTGAGAGGGGCCCTCGGTTTTTAAAATCTCACCCGAAAGATTCGAAAGACCTGCAATTTTCACTTCACAGTGTCAAGCGCTTTGCGAAGGAACGGTTGCTATCTATCCTTTATCGACATAGGGCAGTCGCCGCCGTGATTCGAACACACGTTCTTCAGATCACACAGCGGGCGCTCTACCGTCTCAGCTACCGACTCAGCTACCGTGACGGTAGATACTTACATGGAAATGTGGTTTTGTATCGGTTTTTAACCATATTCTCCTCTTTCTTTCCAGCGTCACATTGGTAAAGTTCCCCGTAAGGTAATGTCTGCGGTGAATAGAAATCACACCGTTCATACACAACAACTAAATTCATAGATAAATTGTGAATGATAATTTATAATGGCAATGAATGGTGTAAAATTTAAGATATTTTGAAGGTTGTGATTTTTTTTAATCCTGATCAACTTTATCATAAGTAATTATTATTCAACAAACATTCCCCTTTCATGCTTACAGCATATTCTCTCTGAAACCCGTCGTCCTTATCCTTTCTTTTTTCAGCTATAACAGACTCTAACTGATTTAGAGGTATATCTCGAATTGTCGTTTCGTTTGCGTAAAAGTCTCCATAAGGATTTTCCGAGTGAATCAACTCATCTTCATCGACATCAGCAACATCACTTTTCGTCTTGCGTTTGGAATTTTTGCGATTTCCACTATCTCTGTGTTTACTTCTTTGGTGTTTGGTTGAGGACTGGGATTTTGAATCAGTAACAGTAACATCTGCCTCATTAGCACCTTCTATGGCTGAAATTAGACAGAAGACTTCATGGTCTTGTTTTATCGTGAAAAATATACAGAAAGCAAAAGCGGAAAGAATATAGAATTTTGTAAGAATATAGACACTTACAAAATTTAGGTCTTTGAATTTGACCTCTCCTGCTTTCCTGTAGACTGCGCCTGCAGTTTGAAAAAAAAAGTTAAAATCCAAAAACATAAAGAGGTCTATGATTTTAGATTTTTTTTTATTTAAATATTTCTCATTCCTGCACATGACAAAATATTCTCGTTCTTTTAAATTAAAGAATGCAATAAAAGATAACATATTTTATAAATTCAGGTATTAAACAAATGGAATAAATAAGAATAACCCTTTTAAGACCAGAATCAAAATTGCTACAGCGATACAGGCAAACACAAGTCCAGAGATCCCTCCGATGACTGAACCAAAGGCACTAATTACATAAGTATCTGTGGTGCGCTGCAAAATTTGTTTAATACATTTATACAATCCTAAACAGTTATTAAAAGAATATTATAAATACATCTTTTTTTTCCTTTTTTTCTTCTCCATGTACAGAGAAAAAAATATACTTTAAGAGGGGACCAAAGTCTATAGTTCTGATCCATTTTATGTAGATGTATAAATGGCATTGTTTGTAGATGAAATATACAAGTACCTTTTAACTTCTCTTTTTATTCTATCAAATATAAAAAAAAAAAAAAAAAAAAAAAAAAAAAAAAAAAATAGATAAATAAATCTAAATTCCAGCATAACTTGAGAGAAAAAAACATATTACCTTTATCATTGGACAATATCCTGTGACAGGGTCACATGTATTATTTATACAACTGTTGCTACAGTTATCCAAGCAGTCAAATCCATAAGTGTCCGAACTACAACCTGAAAATATTACCATAAGAATTAAAGAGTTAACACCTGATGAGATAACATGGGTAGCTTCGTCGAAGACCATTTGATGAACTTTTAACTAGTTTCCCAATATTCAACTTTTTTTTATAACCACAGATAAATATACATGTGTATTGCATATATCAACTACTTTTGCCCACTGAAAGACACTTTTGTTAAAACAATAGCTGACCAACTTTAATTTCTGAACTGCACATTGCTTTAAGAATCTAAAAGAAATGCTTGAAATTGCATCGATATATATATTTCACTTCTAAATTTCCCTCAAATTTTCTAGTTTTCATGCATTTACAAAAGGTATATCTTCATCAAATAATATGTGAGTGTGTCAATGACTTTTCAGATTGTAGATACAGCAAACGACAATTAAATGACAAAAATTATGATCCGACAAAAATTGATATTTGGGAGGAAAAAAAATGTCACAATCAATTTGATTTGAAAAAGAAAATCAATGAAAGTTATATCAGGAGGATATGCTTACGCTTAGTGCAGTTAATTTCTTTGAATCCTTTTGCGCATCCATTCAGGCAGCTACCATTGATGTGATGGCATTTTGATGCGCCTCGACAAAAGCCACACGAGTGACTACAGTTCAATCCATACATACTACCTGCGCATTCTAATTTAAAAAAGACACAGTTCATATAATCTCTAGAACATTTTCTTTTTTTTTTCTTTTCATTTTCTTATTGTGTTAACATTATCATTTCCATTTAGCATCTTAACAATAACGCAAACATATAAAAATTGTAAGTTGCTTATCTGTGCATTTCAAATTCTAGAAACTGTTTTTTTTATCTTTAATGACATCTGTATATCTAACCCATTATTGCTTACTTGATCTAGGACATATCTGAAATTAAACTCATTAAATAAATTTCTACAGTAAGGGATAACAATATGCTCGTAAAATCTGGAACAAAGGAAGATCTGATAATATATACAGATATGCTACAACATTATTGATAGCCTTGGTCCCTATCGTCTAATTTCTTATGGAACATTTTTTTTATATAGATTCTTATGTTTTATTGTATTCCTAGTCCTAATTGTCTAGAGATTAAAATAATAATCGAACTAATAGTTATAAATACATCAGGGATATTTTAACATCCAATGCAAACCAAATGCAGCAATTGTCATGGCAATTCTTGCATCTAGTTGAAATGTTCTGATTAACACGAAAGACATCAAAACTATCCTGTATAAAGTTTCAAGTCTTTTGCGAGGATGAACGCAAACCATGGGGAAAAGTTCGAATACATAATTACTGTCAATGCAATGAAGTCCTTCCCAACCAGGTTGGCATCCTCCTTCGCATTCGCCTGTTGTTTTCATGCATCTATTGGGTACCCCACAGTTGACGTTACAGTTCTGGCTACAGTTATTGCCAAACGTTCCATCAGAACATTCTGTGAAAACATAAGAATGCATTTTGATCATTTTATTTTTTTTTTATTCTGAAGCAATATCTAGAGGAAAGTTTAAATGAAATTTTAGCATCAGAACAACTGATATTAATTTAGATGAATATAAACGTTCAAGCTAACCAGTTTTACAAAGTTCTCCTTTATAACCAACATTACATCCTTCTGAACATGATCCAATGATGTGATGACATTGTTTGTAATTAAGACATGATCCACATCTCGATGTACAATTCTGTCCATACATTCCTCCATCACAAGCTTTAGGTAAAAAAAAGTTGTTAAAGTTACTGTTATAAAATTTCTTGCGAGTTCTCAGTAGTTTGAGATTCAGATGCAGATGTTCATTTTTTGAAGATTCTTGTCAATATCCCAATCTACGAAATAGCAACATTTGTACTACTTGGAAGAAACATATTATAACGCTAACGATGTCATATCCCAAAAATACACTCAGTCAATCATTTTTCTTTATCAAGCCCAGTTGCATTTATTTAGAAATAATAAGATATAATACAAGCAGTTTTAAGCATCTTTAATATTGATAAAAACACATACTCTCATTGCAAGTAGTTCCTTTCCAACCTACGTGACATGGAGACGCACATTGACCTGCAAATCGGTCACATTTATCACAGTTTCGACATCTATCAGAACAATTCTTACCATGCCAACCGTCAGGACAGGCTGAGGAAAATTAGAGACGAAACTAAACATGATATTCTGTTATACTGTTATACATGTATATGCTATCAGGGAGATCGAGATCTATTAACGTGAATTTTCTTTCATTGGTTTCATTGAAAGAAATATTTATTGAAATGAAATAGATTATTAATAAAAAAAAACCCCGAAGTTTATGTATCTTTTGTATGTGTTTTCCAGTAATTATTACTAATATCATATGTTATCTATTGACCTAAGTAGTAGGATATATATAAATCATGCATATTTTTTTTATTGGCCATATAGTTTTGTTTCAATAAAAAATGTTCGAACTTACGTGTTTTGCATTTATTTCCATAAACACCAACGTCGCATCCATTTGCACATCTTCCATTGATATGGTGACATGTCACCCCATCGCTACAGTTACCACATTTTTTCTCGCAGGCTTCTCCATAGAATTTATAACTACAGGCTGACGTCACAAAAAAATTGCATTTATTTGAATACATTCACATTGCCTTTCATCAACATTCAATGGATTAACAATTCAAATAATGAATTATCATCTAAAAAATTGAATAAATTCTGTTCCGTAACTAGTTCCGTAACTAGAGATAACTTGTAATCTACTTCACATTAACTGAGGAATTCCGATCTTATTATTTTTGAAGAATTTTTGATGAATTTGATTAGGTTTCAGTGCTTTCAGTTTATATACCAAAGTTTCCTCTAAAGAGTCCAGATACTGAAAAGCAGGTGGTGTGAAATAGCAATGTTGTTGAATTTTGCAGAATACATGTGTATTTGAGAACATTCAATAAAGAAATAGAATATAAGCACATCTCTCAATCCAAAAATTTAAATTTGTTTTATAATCTTCGTAAGCAGTTCTTTCTTCATATATCTGCAAACTTTGGATCAGAGGTTGTGCTGTATACGAAATAATGAAAAAAAGCATAATATTTTTTTCCGTTTTTGGAGAAATATTTAGGATACGTGAATAATGACGCAATTTGTGACGTCATAATGCACCAAGGGTTTAAGTGGATATTTAATGCCATCACTACAGAAACTAAGCATTTATATTTTTTCAGAAATTAAGAGGGCCAAAAACGGCTCTAAGTGGTCCTTGCTCTTTATGAGGTATTTTAAAACTGCAAAGAACATTAAGCTGACATTTTCAAATCCAACCAGCAAACATGCGTGATGAAATAATTTGTTGTTGTTGTTATTAAAATAAACATTAGATACATATGTGTTGGAAAATTCATTCTCATACGTTTCCAAACATGCACCAAATCTTAGAACTTTATTTTACATTGCCATCTTCAAGTAAAATGAAGGAAATTTTAGTTCTTTATGGCTTTTTGAAGAATTTACTAAAAGACACACCTATGATGTCATTACTTTCTCCATTTTGAATATTTTCATTTTTTCCGATGAGACTTCCTATAACCTCTCAGCTTTAAGAAATTTATATATATTATAAACCAAACAACATTCTAATTTTTAAGAAGCCCCACTATCTAAATCAATATCATAAGATATGAAATTACGTTTGAATGGATTGTTTCAAATGTGACTTGTTTCTGTTTACTTACGCAATTCACACTGATGTCCCTGGTACCCAGGTTGACATCCCTGACAAGCACCTGTTTCTATGTGACAATATCGACAATTTGTATCACGACAAGGGGAGGAGCATGTCGGTCCATAATAACCTGGTTTGTTGCAACCTTAAAGAAATGTAGAGCAGTATATATGAATCTTTGCAACATATGACTGCGCATTTGTATATGACTGACAACAGTTCTTGGCTTCATCTTGGTCATGGGGTAATGGGTTGTACAAAAACAATGATTTTCACTACATGTTTTTTTTAAATATCTATGAATATTTATGCAATAAAACGCTTTCTTAGGTTTTTAGTATTGGAAGTAATGTTAAAGATCTTGCTGACAAAAAAAAAAAAAAAAAAACCAAAAAAAAAAAAAAAAAAAAAAAAAAAAATTACAATGCCCCAGAAGAAGGGATTGTGTATTTTTTTTTTTTTCAATAGCTACGGCATTGGTTCCCGTATAAAAAAGACATTTAACTGATTATGTCCACGTCTTTGTAAATATTCATATAACACTGGATTAAACACGTTACATATTATAAATTTCAAATGTTCGTAACTAAGGAGCCACTGCTAAAAATCTTCACTCGTGGATGGCTAAGCAGCTTTAAAGTATTGATGAACGACCGTAGTTTTCTTTCGAAATAAAGGGTATAATGTTCAGTGAATGTAAACATATATTAATATTGCAGTCTATTGTTAATCTTTTCTTTAGAAAAAAATATTTTTAAATTAAACAACCCCTTGTCAAACTGTGACTCTCTGTATCAGGAGATCGGTGATCATAATCAAAAAGCAGATCATCCTTACAAATGGAAATATTTTGATGCATAAATGAAGTCCAATTGTTACATGTATACCAATGCAATGTGAAGATGAATATCAACATACATACTTTCCAAAAAGATATTTTTCTATATATCTTTTAATTTTGTATTTGCTTATCTAGAGGTCTTGTCTTTGAAAGTAATGTTTATTTACGTTACCAAAGTAATTTGTCTTTTTAGTGTTCCCTTTAGTTGGCCTAGTGTTCTTCAGAGGAAAATTTTTAATTGTTATTTTTCTATGTTTATTTATAAATATCTCTCTTTGTACAGACCTGTCACTTTATTGGAACACATGTGATTTCCCCTACACCCAAAGCCGTTATAAAACATACCGTATACTTCCACCTCACACAATTCGTTGTGTGCATATTGATAAAACTGAGCAGAATAGGATGAAAGGATCCTTTGAGGTCTTTTGTTGAAATATATGACATATTGTCCATGTACTGGACACGTTATATTGACGACCGCTGGTATTGTGGATCTGGTGTAGTTTGTGTCGTGGAAACAGAGGTGACCATCTTCAATGTTTGTTGTGTTAGATACATAAATATAAAATCCCAAAAATCTGCTGGTGTAGCCGTTGGAAGCACCTTAAATAAATAAACATATATATATATATATATATATATATATATATATATATATATATATATATATATAGATAGATAGATAGATATAGATATAGATATATATATATATATATATATATATATATATATATATATATATATATATATATATATATATATATATATATATATATATGTAGAATGCCATTTATTAATAAGACTTAGTATACTGAATATTAGTCAAATTTAAACATTTGCAAATTGCTCAAACATGGCCGTAGGAACCGGGGGGACTTGGGGTCTGTGCCCCCCCCCCCCTTTCCTCCCCGATAATTTTGCCGAGATATAGAAAACAGGGATACTGTATGCTTGTGCACCCTGAATAAAAACGTCTGAAGACCCTTTTTGCTTGTTTGGTAGTTGATAGTGCCCCTCAACTGAAAATGTATGACTGCCTCCCCCCCCCCTCACCCCAAAGTGACATTGCTTCCTACGGACCTGTCAGATAAACACATCGCTATAAATCGTTGACGGAGTCGTAATTAACAGTGAGTTCAATGTCGCGTTTAGCTTAATTAAATATATGATATCAAGTTAAATATCTAAACAGAATAATTAAGAAATGCATGTGCTAATGTGTAATTATATCATTTATTAAAATTTTCCGAATGAAATTTCATATGATTTAATGTTTTTCTTGTAACACCTGGAAATCCAATTTTGTTTCTTGTTCACGAAACGCACTCGACAAAAATTACGTCCATGTTTACAATACCGCGACTTTGACGTCGTTTTCTGCGCATTGTGACATCAAAAGAGAAGTGCTCTTTTCTCATGACGGCAGTCATATATATATATATATATATATATATATATATATATATATATATATATATATATATATATATATATATATATATATATATATATATATATATACATATATAACTCAATTTATTACAAATTCAATTTAAACACTGCTAACTAAATTATAAAGAAGAAAAAAGATTCATGGGGGACTATTTCTTGTAATGGAAGGATATTCAAAAATGCTCAAATCTAAACATTCATTACATTTAATATCTCTGAACTTAAGCAAATTTTTTATGTAATAATATGCTAAAAAATATCAAACATATGTTTCAAATATTATTTGTAGAACAACTCTTGCATATTCACTGAACAGACTTTGGCATGAAATGAAGACATATTGAAGAAGTAAAGATAAAATTTACATAGTTTTTTGCCTGAAAATCGCTTAATTTGACGAATATTTTAAAATTAAAATTACTGACCCCAACTTTTTTCATGATTTATAACCACATGATCCCTCCAAACAATCAGCACTAAAGTATGATGCAGGAATACAAATTATTGTCTGTTAAGATTTTTAATATCCAATATGACACTTTGTAGGCCAAAATGATCACACAATTATTTACGCATGTAAGTTTGCAGAATTTTTCAAATCATAGATTTTATTTTAAAATTTTACATAAAATAAAATCATATTTATTGTCATGGTTATTTCTGGTAAAATATTATATAGGGTAAAGTGGTTAACCTAATCGTTACAATCTAAGCGTAAAAGGGTCAAGTTAATTACCCAGCAAGCACTGAAAGTTGTTCCCACGTTGAAAGTAGGTAGAATTAAAGTTGCAACATTGAGCAATTATACGTTGACGTTATCTCAACGTTGAGATTTCTACGTTGAATCATCAACCTTTCTTCAACGTTGAATCAACGTTGAAGATTCAACATATTTTCAAAATTGAATGTCTGGTGTTATATCAATTATGAAAAAAAACTATGAAGCTGCAACATATTTTCAACGTTGAATGTTCCGTTTTACAACACTGAAACATATTTTCAAAGTTGAGTATTTGTTCATATTTCAACGATGAAAAACGTTGAAGTTTCAACATATTTTCAGCTTGGAATATTTGCTGCTATTTTAAGGTCGAAACAAGTTTAAAAATGCAATATTTTTTTTCAACGTTGAATGTTCATCGATATTTCAAAGTTTAAACAACGTGGAGGACGAAACATATTTTCAACATTGAAAAAGGGCGGAGAATTTAAGCTTGAAACAACGGGTAATGAGCACCTTATTTTTCAAAGTCAACAAGTAAGGGTAATCTAACGTGAAATCAATGGTTTTTTTTTTTTTTGTTTTTTTTTTTTTTGTTTTTTTTTTTTTTTGCAATATAAATGTATATGCATTGTGGAAAGTATCCTTGTTCACAGTAAATGAAATGCCTTGTGGATTAACGTATTTAAATAACATATGTGCTTTCAGTACTGTAATAAAATATTTAACATGAGTTTATATGAAGTAAGACATCAACATTCAACTTTTCACTGTAATTGCATATTTCAAAAAATAACTTGTAAATTTATTGTGAATGCAGTGTTTTTGCATTAAGGAAAAAAAGAAACTTTTTTTACAAGTTTTTTAACTAATTTGAACTAGATTGTCCTTTTGTTGCATGTATGAAAAAGAAGAGTAAACTGTATAAGATATGATAAAAAAAATGAATTATTAAAGTAAACACGTTACAAAATGGTTTAACAATTTCCATTCTAACATTTAAACCAGGTCAGTTTACATTACTTAAGATCATTACTTAAGGCATCAGATAAAGAGTGGTTCTAGCTTAGCTGATCAGTTTTAGTGTTAAACAATAACCTTGTTATGCAATTTTCCTGCTGGTCAGCGATACAGAGTAGTTGTTTGCAGATTATCTAGGTCAAAATTTGAATTAATCTGATGGACAAGAAGTACGCGTCTTCTTATTGTTCATATGCAATGCATTTTACAAGCCATGCGCAAGGATTAAGGCTAGATTATCAACTTCTGCTCAGTAAGTACAATTTCCTTTTTATGGATTTAGAAGGAATTCAAATTTAGTTTTACCTATACATCATTTTATTCTTGTTTTGTTAGCATATTTGTAATCTGCGTGAAATGCACATCTTTGGTTCGTGTATTTTTGTGTTTTGATGATATATATTTCCACATGAAATTTAAATATAATATACAATTTAATTACAGTTGGTCGTAAGGTTCCATCAACCACTTGCGACTTTGAAACGTAATTGATGCCAAGATTTGATCAGAACCTTCGCCCGTGAAAATAACAAGGGAATGCAACAATTTGTATGTACACATCCTTGTCTCTAACAATTTCTTCAGTAATAGTTATTTATAATCATACTAATATGAATTTTAACACGAGTACAAACATAATTCTTTTCATTAATTCCAAGAACAAGAACATGTATTTTTCTCTTTTTTTTTTTTATTATCCATGTGTTTATCATTTGAAATGACAAGTAATCAAATAAATGACTTTCACATCATCATATCTTTTGTTAAAAGGCTTTGCATTAGAGGATGAAACCTTCTGTTCCATGTGTTCATTTTTTCCGACCGACAAGTAAATTTGTGGGACTTAACTATGCGCGTGATTAAAAATCAATGGATCCGCCACTTTGTGGAACTTGTTTTTACACTGATGCCTGCTATGATGAACCTGGATACGATTACTGTGACCTCCTTTTCACTAGGAGGGTAAATTTTGCTAAACAGGCAGCTAGGTTAAGGACGCCCATTGAAAATACTCCTTAAAATAGTCTTAGAAAATGAATATAGAGTTCAACATAATTTTAAACAGCATTAGTTCTGATAAATGAGGATTCACCTATGTATATGTATTCTGTGTTTGGCCAAAGCGACTTCACTTGCATCAGCTGTTTGTCACGTGACATGTTTAAAATTAGGAAAAAAATATGTACGACTACTGAGATCGTAAGAGTTCAACGATATACCCTTTTTTCTCTGTGAAAATGATTGTGTTTTATTTGATTGTTGATTGATTGTATGTTGTTTAACGTCCCTCTCGAGAATTTTTCACTCATATGGAGACGCCACCACTTGCCGGTGGAGAGCTGCAAATTTTGTCTTTTACTCGGCACTTACGGCCATTGAGCAGTGAGGGGTCTTTTTCGTGCCAGCACCTACTGCGACACGGGGCCTTGGTTTATACGGTCTCATCCCAAGGACCGGTCTCCACGTCCCACAGTGGGATTCGAACCCGCGACGTAAGGATTAACACCTTACGTCGCGACTGTAGAGCAGACGCTCTAACCACTGCACCACGCGGGCGATGTTTTTTATTTGAGACAAATAGTTTAACATAAAATGTGCTGAGAGCAATTTTCTCATGCCTGGGAATTGTATAAAATTTAGCCGTCTTTCGATTAACTACCGTGATTGACATAATACACATGAAAATAATGTAACATTACGGAATAAAGCAACCTCGCACAACAAGCTCCCAGCACTTTTCAAAAAATTTGTGACAATAACAACAAGTTTTTAAATTTAATAAATTATAGTGAAGCGGATATCGCTGAACTTTTCAGATTTTCGAGAGGCTGTGTCTTTGATTCTAGTGCGTTACTGTATAAGCATGCCTTATTGCGGCTTTATATGAGGTCTTTACATATTCGATTTATTAAGATTACAAAGCAATGATTAATACTGTAGATCACCAAATTTTTGCGACACTTTATTTTCGCGAGATGGTCATTTGGTATTGATAAGCGAAACATAATTTTCACGAACTTTGGATAATGTACTATATAGTCTTTAATACAAGAAATATACGCGAGAATGAAATTTTCGCGAGCAGGCAGTCTCGCGTAATTACGCGAAAATAAAGTTCTCGCTTATAAAAAGTGATTTACAGTACTTTCAAGAATAAGTCTCCATTTTGGTCAGATAACACTTGTTTAAGTTTATTTTTCATATTTACATGCTACAATACTAGCTTTATCTACAACTCAAGTACACTGAAACTACGTGTCAAACTAGTCTGTGACGTCATCACAGCCAATACAGCGAGATCAAAAGGACTTTAATATTTACATTTAAATAGTTTATTTATGACAAATTAAGTAATACATCGATTTTTGCATTTATTATTTAATAGAAAACACTTTTTTAAGTGTGTATGAAAAAGAACATTAGTATTTATTCACCAAAATAGAATTAAATAGTTTTAACGTGATTTCTCTATCGTCTTTTCGAACCTCTGCATAGGCTGATGTAATTATGGGAGTCCTTAACCTAGCTGCTGAGTTGTTTTTGAGATTCGGTGATAGGATCCGGGATTTATGTTTGTCTATTAAATACATTTTAGAATAAATCTACTCAGAATCTTAATACTAAATAACAACTGACATGTTTCGCGATTTGAATAAAAAATTTTATTATAATTTGAAATTAGAATTTGAAATGTATTTGTATTTAAAGAAAATCTCAAAATGAATTCAACTTGAAATCAACCAAATATCAATGTTTGTAGAACCAAAAAAAATTTCAACCAAAAATCAACCCAATTTCAACCAATATACAACTTTTTTTTCAATTGAAATGTGACGTTGAAACAACGTTGAATTTTCAATGTTTCCTCAACCAAAGTTTAACCCATTTGCATCGCCATTCAGCGTTGAAAATTGACGTTTAAACAACGTTGATGTCTCAACATTGCCTCAACTTTCATATGCAATTACAATTCAACTTTGATTCGACGTTGAAGTGAAACGTTAATTCAACGTTGAAGTGAAACGTTGATTCAACGTTGATTCAACGTATACATGTATATTTACATTTCTAAACATTTTCTTTGAGAATTAGGTGAGTTTTTTTTTATTTACATCTGAATTTAAATTTCGCCAATGAGAGGTCAGAAGCCAGGTATGCATGTTAATTTCGTGCGGCTGTCTTTGTGTCTGGCGTCAGTGTTCGGGGACAACTGAAATTAACAGGGGAGGCCTCGTGTATTTTAAAATATATTAGACAACATTTTATTATTTATATTCACAATTTTATTAGACATGTAAATATTAGAAATCGCTCTCTAGTTTCTTGGACATGCAAGTGACACCAACGACAGGTGGAAACGTGGGAATAATTTATGCATAACGAGCTTAGTCCATTATGCAAATTATCCCACAACCATCGTTGATGCCCTGGTATATACAATAAACTATACAGTGATTCCTTAAATATTCAATGGTGATGGATTAGACAACAAGTTTAGTTTCCATGCAGAAGATCAAGTTTGAATCGTAATTTTATTTTTTTTTTTTACGATTTTTTAAGAATTGTTTGAAATACTATGGATATTTTTTTTTTCATTTCCATTTAATATTAAAAAGATGCTTGAGTTTCTGATTGACAATAACTATGTGGTTTTTGGAGACCATGTCTTCCAACAATCTATTTGAATTCCTATGGGTACCCATTATGCCTCTTTATAAGGAGACCTATTTTTGTATTCATATGAAGCAGAATTTGTCTGATCCCATCTCTGGGATCTGTTTTAGAGGTCCGTGATTGCTCTGCTATAAAATTTGCATTGTTTAATGGAGATTTGAGCTTTAATACTGTCCAATATCTCCATACATTTCATCCCTATTCGTTTCTGAAATATTTTACCTAGTCAATATCAGATCGATCGAGCTTCCTAAACCCATGCAGAATGGATACTGTGGGAATGTAAGATCCGATTTCCATTATAATTAGATTCCCAAGAAATTTTTATTCAAATTTATGAAGAAATTTATATACAATGTATTTTTCTCTGAAATCAAAAGTATTGCAAGAGAAGTTAATACCAAATACTCAGTTCCTGGAAGCTCCTACATGTATATGTATAATAGGCGAAACTCTGAGCTTATAATTGTCAAAGTCCTCCATTTACTTATTCCCATATAGATATTTATTGATATAAATAAACATTTTTTGAAACATACTTTCATTGTTTACTTGTACTTTGGTAGTAGCGTATTTTTTTCAAAGGAATACTTGAAAAGTTTGAGTAAAGAGCTTTACTTTTAATCCCCTTCTCTACATTCATGATACTTAATATTCAAACTGAATAAAATCAGATCGTTTGATCCACTTACAGAGATCCCTACACAAGGATCTGACGAAAATCAATTCAGTTTCATCTCCCTGTGACCTTTTCAATAAAGAAATTCATTAAAAATATGACCAATCAGAGAGATCGTACTAAATATACACTCGGGAAAATTGATGTTGAAGTTAGAGTAGCCGTGGAGAAGATTAAAAAAAAACACTTTGTACAAAATCAAGAGCTAAAAATTATACAAAAGAAAATACTAAATATAATTCTGTACACAAAAGACTGATCATTCTGTTGACAGGGTACGGAAACCAAGTCACAATTTCCGTTAGTATATCATTGGGACTTTTACTTCTGTACCTTAATTCCGAGATACTATTAAGTTCGTTCCATCAAACGTTTGAATGGGTAAATAAAAGGTTACCAGGAGATGACCCTGAATGGGACTCTCCGCCTAATTTCTACGGGAAATGTTAACTGTGACGTCACACAAATATATCAATTACTCACATTAACAGAAAATTAAATAATTTGCGATTTTAAACTGCATACGAGTAATGAACTACATCACCGCAATCATTTTTGTTGCTAGTTAAATCCCACACAGCAAGATATAAACAAGTCACTGATCGTAATGCTCTTGTCGACATGAAGTCATAATGGTAACGTTTTTTTTGTTTTTTTTGTTTTTTTTTTTTTTTTTTTTTGCATTTTATATGTAGTGAGATGCGGATCAAGAAAATTTTTCACAGTCAAAAAAGCAATTTATTTCTAAATAAGATATCAGTTGAAAATCTTAGGTAAACGATTAATACAAATCTGAAACCTTTGTTTAGTTTAATTATTTAAAACTACCGAGAAGATGTTTTGAATTAATTCTATCGTGTTTTAGTGTACAGGTTTCATGTTTTATGCCGAGGTTCCTCATTAAATAGCCTTTTCACAAGGACATACATTTAATAGACCATGGCCATGTTTTGAATATACATAACGGAAACATTTCTTTAACTTGAAAGGGGTTGCTGTTTCCTGAAATCGAGAGCATAACTTAATTCATATATAAAATATTTTGTAAAGGTAACAGGTTTCGACTAAAGCAAAATAACTTGAAATTTAATCTAGCAAAATGCGAATTCTATTTTAAAAAGTAGCAGCTGTTTCCATGAACTACAAGTTATGTATAAAGAATTCATTACTTAAGTTTTTTAGTTTAACTAGGACCCTGCAATATTGAAATCTTTTTGTGACCTACATACAGTACACATTATATGAGTTTATAACGTGGCTGCCAGATAATGTGACCAAACCAAATTTAGTACAGAGCGAGGTAAAAATATAGCAGCTTTACAAAAATAAATTCGTTTAAAAATGTATGTATTTGTGGATTCCTTTCATTTCTTCGAAGTAGTCATCAGATCATTGTGCAGCAATCTTTGTGAGCGGATAAAATGATCTTGTTAAATCAGATTGCTAAATATCATGAGATATTAATAGATTTTTATGTCATAGATCAAAGAGTATTTCAGAGAGATATGAAACATTTACTTTTTTACGTTGACAGTACTTTTTGTCACATCCGGAAGTTAATTTTAAAAATGGCACTTTTGCAATTGTCTTCCAAAGGAAATCACCATTTGATTTATTTGTGCATGTATTTATGATATCATATATAGAAATATGATGTTTTCACGCTTTTTTTAGCCCTGTAACTTAGTACAATACTGCAATGTTCACTATTTCTTCTTTATTTCTTATGCCACTGAACATGAATTCTCAGGTACTCTACTATCAATGTATAAAAAAAAATGTGTACGTCCCAGAGGGAAACATGTTTACCACTTTTTAGTACTTTCAATACTTAGATTGTATTGCAATTGTTGTCCACTACTATACAATTGTCCGATTACTTGAAGGGGGGATGGGGTGGTGTCGAGGGGATAAAGTCCTTTTTTTTTTATTTTTTTTTTACAATGTTGTAGCGAGAATCAATTTGTTTGGATAAAGAACATGTTAAATCAGAGATATTTTATTTTACTATAATTACCCCATTCTGCATTGTCCGTCCTGTAATATATTCTTATATCGTGGATGCTGCGGATGGATGTGAAGTTAACCCACCAGGTGGCGGTTTTGAACTTATCAGCTGAAACAACACATTGACCCCCAAATGCTGAAAGATCATTCTTCAAACCATCAACAGCATTGCTGGAATCGAATGTAGTACTTTCATGTTTGGGACTGAAATATGGATGCGATTGATATGTGGGTTTCTCTAAAGCCAGATTATCTGAAAATGAAGATTTAGAGAAAAAAAACAAACATATATATTACCAGTGTGAAATACTTGGGTTACCATCTTTGTAAAAATGTTTTTAAAAAAGTACCAAAATGACTTTCCTAATTATCTACAGGTGAAAGTAATTATGCAACAATAGAATACGCATTATTTCTTCATTTCGCGAATGAGTTACATGTATGTAATATAATTTATGTAAACATTATTATATTTTTGGGCGGTGGGGGGTGGGGGTGGGGTGGGGTGGAGGATGGGATGAAATGTATTCTCTTGATATCTTTTATCTGTACTGGCATACAAGTGTTATGGATTTGTGTTTTTGTTTTTTGTTTGTTTGTTTTTTTTTTTTTTTGAAGCTATGTTTTCTGAAAAATTAAGAAATACTATTAAAACTTTTGCCAGATTCTATCAAATCTCCATCTTTAATAACAGAGTGTTACAAAAAGGATTTCTAGTAAATTTCCCGATTAGCTTCACAGTTAAAAATAAACAAAATATTATATCGCTGTATTTAATGTATGTATGTTTTGCAAACATTTCTGTGAATATGTCGCTGCTGAACCAGAACGATTTCATAAATAGAGGTATAACACATAAACAAAGACACATTAGTCCAATGAGGAATGACATGCAAGTCTAAATACGAATGGCACTCTTATCTCTCAGCTAAAATAACACATTATCCCCCAAAAGGCTGAACGGTTTGTGTTGTGTATTTGAACATAAGTAAAGGATAACTATCTATGGCGCAATGCAACTACTTTTAATGTATGTAACACATAATAGTAAGGACAAGCAATTACAAATAACACATTTTCGGAATACCTAATCTACATGGACATAACAGTTAATCTTAAATTCTTCAACGGCAATGCTTTAGTCGAATTTCATCTTCTCATTTTGGTGTATTCGAATACACATGTGATTGATGTGAGGGTTTGTTTGAAATTAAAATTTCTGAACGTGAGAAAATATTATGTAGATACTGTCCAATTCTGTTATACTTGAATTGCCATTTTAATGAATATACTTGTACAGTTATTGTTTAATGTGACTTTTGACAATAATAGTAACTTCTGAAATTGAAAGACTAAGTCGCAATACATGCATTCTTTTTTTCTGATTTTTTGAGATCTCTGAATACATGAATAAAAATACCCCTTGATATTATGAAAACTTTGGATTTCATTGAAATGTTGCGGTTTTTTTTTTTTTTTTTTTTTTTTTTTTTTTTTTTTTTTTTTTGACCAAATCATATGAATGCAAAAGCTTGTATAAATCTAAGAAACAGACAGCATTCTTTAATTCTACAGAGAACTGACAAAATATTTCTTTTTGACAGGTCTAACGAAATAGCAATTTGAAATATTTGCTTAAATGGACATCTTTCACAGGATAAAAAAAATAAAATAGAAGATAACACATGAGATAATGGGTACTCAACTTAATTGAAAATATATACCATACGAAGGAAGAAAAGAAGAGAGGCTTTGTATATGCATTAAAAATGGGAGAGTAAAGGGTACCGTTGATGGTGAATTGTGATAATTTATATTCATACAATTTTAAAGCCAAAGTTGTATAACGAGAAATTGTATAATGTTTGGTTCATGAGGAGACCAAAGTAAGTAAATTAGGATGGACAGTTATTTTCTAACGTGGATAATATTAGTTTCTTCGAAACTTTTGTAAGAGTAATTCAAATCAAATCAAAACTGCAAGGAGCAGTGCTTTGGTATGTTGTTGGAAAGGTACATAAGCTGTAAGATTATTTGTCCCTCTGTTTATATAGCTCTAAACAGACTTCTATTAAATCAGATATCTGAAAAATGCAAATTAAACCTCGCAAAATTAAATAAGGTAGAAGTTATCCAGTATAAAGTATGGACCTTGTACCCCTTCATCTGAGAAAACGCAGATCTAGATCACGGATGAAATGACAAGATGATTCTATATGATCTGTCATTGGTGATTCAAATATGTTCAGCGAAGTTAAGAAAAAGCGCCTTTCTGTGACTGTTTAGTGACCAATTGAGCAGTCGTTTATTATTCTGTCGACTGAATGGTGTAGTTTCATTCGGTGTCAGTAAAAGAATAATATTGTGGTTATTGTGTTTTTATTTGTTTTAAACGTGGTTACCTAAAAGGACTTTAAGATTTATCTAAACTTTCTCCATGTTTTATATACAACATTGAAAGTATGCATTATCATTTATCACTTTCTTTTCCATTTTGTACATGTACAAATACATTGGAACTGTAGAATGTTAAGTAAATTAATATAATCTTGAAAGAATTTAATATCGATTGAATTTCATATAAAATAGATGAAATTTCACAAATACTGTAAATGCAGTAACACAAAGTGTTTTCCTGGTATAAAGGCTTCTTTGATCACCTAAGATATGTCTTAGGATAAGCTCTCCGTCGTCTTTACGTTAATACAAAGACAAGGAAATCCCTTAAGATTAAAAAGTCTCTCTGGCCTCACATAAGACTAAGATATGTCGTAATTTTGTCCATAGAAAGATCTTAGTCAAGAAAAAGCATTATAAGCATGTCTGCTCAGATGTTTTTTCACGAAAACGGTAAAAAAAAGGTGGATAAAAAAAACCTCAAGAAAAAGAAAATAACTAAGAACTTAAAGATTATTTTTTTTTTCCATTCATCTTTTTAAATGTTAAAATGATTTTTTTTTATATAGAAATGTGTGAGTGGGCACTGACGCAAAACTCGCCAGCTTGCACAGCAAATATTTGACAGAAGGTGATTATCTGCTATATTGTAAAATTGGTTTGTTTGTTTGTTGTTTAACGTCCTTTTGAGAATTTTTTACTAAAATTGAGACGCCACCACCTGCCTGCGGAAGGCTGCAAATTTTGACCTTTGCTCGGCACTCACGGCCTTTGAGCAGTGAGGGAACTTTTCATACCAACACCTACTGAGACATGGGACCTTGATTTATTCGGTCTCAACCGAAAGACCGGTCTCCATGTCCCACAGTGGGATTCGAACCTGTGACGTAAGGATCAACTCCTTATTTCGCAACACTAGAGCAGACGATCTAACCAACGGCCACGCAAGCACCTTGAAAAATCGGTAGTATTTTTGTTTTTGCACGTAGATCAATTCTTCTCTAAATCTCTTGTTTTTTTTTTTCTTTTTTTCATTTTTTTTTTTCAGGAAATCTAATTTTCAATTACAATCTACATGAAGGTATAATGCCTGCACTAAAAGAAACACCACGTTATTGAGTTTCGGAGGAAGTAAAATAATATGGACCCTTTAAAACTTCATTCTAAGTGGTACTAGCACTGAAATCTCTTTATTGTTTTTTTTATAGACACCCTTTCTCACCAATTTAGTTATGATATACTGTTTTTTCTTTTTTTTTTTTTCTTTTTTTTTTTTTTTTTTTTTTTAATAAATTTTTTTGCAAGTACTTATTTTTGCGCAATGGCTTTTTAACGTCAAATCGTGAGAACGATAATTCGTGAGATAACGGTTAATGAAAAGATTTTACATGGATTTTAGCAAAATGAATATAAAAGCGAGTAATTTTATTTCACGAGTGGTGCTATTTCCTCGCAAATCTTAAGGAATCTAAAGAATTATGACAAAAACATGGAAGTATGTATTGAAAAAGCTATCTCTATTTCTTGAAAAAAAATCTACAAAAAAATTTAAAGGATGATTTTATGAGATCATGTATTTTCATCGCTGTCTCATGAAATAGTTTTATATAATTAAACATTTTTAAAGTGTGACTCACCATATCCATGAATGCAACCGATTGCAAATACAAGAAACCACATGTTTGTGCTAATAGACATCGTGTCGCAAGGTTCCCTCACTTCTGACAAGGAAGTCGAATTTTTGGCCTACTGAACATAAAAAAAAGAAATACTTCCTATTAATTTACTTGATTCTTCATAGCTTCAATACTCCATCAATAAATGACATTTCAACCGTTCAAAGCTTCGTATTTCCGTATTATACACTAGAAAGAAAGAGGAAGAACACGACAATAAATTCATCCAACGAAGTACAAGGCTCTCCTTACTTGTCCAAGCTTGTTACATGTAGCATCTTAAAGACTTTACACAATTAGTAAAAAGTAGTTTTTTAACACTTAAACGATGTGTAGTTTTAGCGTTTTTAAGGATATTAGTATCTTATTGATTTTAATGATGCATATGACTGAAATAAATTTGATTTAATTGTTCGTTTTTTTTGTTTTAATTTTTCTTGGTTTATAATAATGTAAGTTAGCAAGATTTAAACATTAAACATGTTGAATGCATGACAAAAACAGGACAACTTTAATTGTTTCATATGATCTAAAAAATGTCCAAGCTTTACAGTAAAATATACATGAATACCGCCATTGATAATTAAAAATGCTATCTATCCAAACAGCGCGAAATCTTAAAATACAAAAGTAAAAGTTATTCCATTTATGACCTTTTGGAAAACTATGTAATATCTTAAATAATTAAAAATCTAAATTTTATTTTGAAGCTTGCAGACTATGATTTACATTTCATTATTGTGTGTGTGCTCTGCCTGAGTTCAAAATTTTCAAAATTATTTCTTTCGATTCCCGAGCTAGGTTGAGGTCAAGATCTAGTATATGAACTCTCAAACTTGAGAAATAAATTTAGTTAATGATTCGTTATAACTTTAGCTTGGTTAAATAAGGTATCTTGGGGCATAGTTTGTAGGTAAACAAGACAAAAAATTATTTTTAAACCGTCATTTTCAGTGAAAAATTAAGGAAAATGCTAATGAATATGGCATTTTTTTTCCATATCAGACAAAGGATATGCATTCATATTGTCTACAATCTGTCAGAAAACGGTAATTTATGTTTTTTGCCCTTCATCTTTAAAATGATAATAAATTGAATGTAGGTATTTCCTACTCACAAGATTTCAGTTTGAATTAAATGAATTTTTTTTCTCCAAATAAATCTATAAGAGACGTAAAGTATAGTACGGGAAAAAGAAAGTTTAAATTAATAATGACGTCATAGAGGATCTAGCACCAAAAAGACGACTAAAGTTTTGTTTTCCTAGATCCCGACTTTTAGGTTTCAAAAAATTGCATCAGTCAATGCAGAGGGAAACAGTAATGACGTCAAGTTAAAACTGAAAAAAAAAATATGAATCTGAATGAATAAATACAAATGATCTTTTATAAAATGCTTTTGTTTACCATAACAAATGTATGTATAAATTGAGGTGCTACTTATCCTCCTTAAAAAATAATATGGAATGGAAGCTAACTTGATCTTGCTGTTGTCTGTGATGACATCATGACTAGTTTAACACAAAGTTTCTCTTTGTTAGTTGCTTGAATCAAGTAATTACATGTATCCTAGCTTGTCAATATAAAAATCAATTTGAAGAAAGTGTGCTCAGACCAAAGTGAAGACACTTTCTTGACGGATAAATGTAACAGTTATGTACTTCCGGAGCAGAAAGAACTCGCTCCCACACTTATAATGTTATTGTTTGTCTTAACCCCCCCCCCCCCAAAAAAAAAAAAAAAAAATAGAGCCAAAAATATTTTCGTATACTGTTGAACTTTTACTACCTTTGTAGCTGTGCAATATTTCCTGATTCTAATCTGTCATGTGACAAAGAGCTGATACAAAAGAAGTCACTTCGAAAAAGAAACACGCATTATGCAAATGCAGACATCAGAGAACCAGTTTATAAATTTAAAAATACAAATATGCTGAATGTTTAGCTTTTCTTTGATGTTGTACATGTACAGATTTTTACTAAATATGTTGGAGCATTAGATGAAGGGTAAAATAAGACTTCCCAAAATGTCCCCATACATCTCACTAAAAAGTATAATGATAAGTCATAACTGACGTTGACGTCAAATCACTGTAAACGTAAACTATATCGACGTGGTATGTCTCACTAAGTTTACACTTAACTTTATTTCTCTTGGATTAAAATCAACGTTTTCTATACCGTACGATTTAAACTTTACTTCTAATTTTCCAAGCCTCAAAACCATGATTAGAGGTAACCATTATAGTTTGTGTACATACATGTAATTGACTGGTGCATGTGCGTAAGAAAAATTTTGTGCTAATACATATTGAAGGGTTTGGTCTTTTAATCGATCTTGCATAGGGACATGAATTTGCTTCGTTTTGATATAATTTATGATGAAGTGAAAATAAAAAAAATCCTCAATTATGTGGGTAAGTTGAAATTCCCATGATATATTGCACACACTAATAACTCCGTGGTCTGTCTTAAGCACTTGTCAGGCACACTAAGCTATAGAAAAATTATCTTTTTAACAAAATGTATATAAAAATGGGTGTTAATCAATTGCAGTGAAGAAATTTATTTTCAAAACGAAATGTATGTAATAGTAAATGACTGTCACGTGAGGAACCTAGTCATATGATATTGTTACAATGAGTAAATTATTAGTTGAGAGAGAGATTTGTTCAAACTCTTTCCTCTTTACATCTTTCATAAATTTAAAATTAAAAGCATGCTTGGAATGTTTCAGTATTCTCCAGATGATATTTAACTTTAGGGGTATCCTTAACATAGCCGCTTGAGCTATAAAATAATATCAGTATTCTACCTCTATTGCATGAAAAAGGTCAATGACATCCTATCACAATGGTATTTTGTGATGTTAGGAATCTAATTTTTAATCAAAATTTACTTTAATCTACTATTCCTTCACGAACCATTTTAATGGTAAGAATTGTCGCATTTTATGTGCAATACTAGTTGAATGTTAATCAGAAATACAGTCGAGGAATTGTTCCATCTAGATCTAAGACAAAAAATATATCTTGATAATCTCTTAACAAAAACAAAATCCACTGAAACTGTTACGTTAAATGCCGAGGAAGTTGATTTTTTTCTGATTCACAATCTCCATCCACGTAAGAGAAATTTTGAAAAAGAAAGTGAGCACCGTAAAAATCAGCCATAAACAGATTGATTTAATTTCTTAGGAAATTCTCTGTAGTGTGTGTATTGTTAATTCTTCCAAAGACATGGTCTAAGTAACTGGGAAATATGATTTACCTGATGATAATTTACAATGAATAGATGGAAAGGGAAAATGATGAATGTAAAACTAATTAGGTTAGAATATTCATATATACCAGTAATTAAAATAATTAAATGTGCAAAATTAATGTTCTAAATTTCTTGCAGAAAAAAAGATGATTAATAATAAATATGAATGCAACGGAACAGAAGGAACGTAAAAAACATTAAGCGGAATGAAATATACAAGCATACAAAAAAGCACGTTATATTTCCCGGTATCCCTAAATGAAGATATGAAAAAGGAAATAGATCTAAAGGAAAATTGTATAGAAATAGATTAATCTAATAAAAGATACATACATAGTGAAAGTACAATATCCTGACTGGTTGAAGTGTGTCAGACCTTTGTTTCTACGGTAAATTTGACTACAAAATGTTCTGTCTACCTTATCAATTCATAGGGCTCATGTCGGGTGTGACCGGTCAACAAGGAATACTTGCTCCTAACCCCGTCTCTGGAAATTCCCGGGGAACGTTTTTATGCCCCGTTCACAGATTTTTATTGCTTGTAGACTTTTTAGCTCACTTGAGCCAAAGATCAAAGAATGCCTGGTGTCCGTCTATCGTTTGTAGTCTGTAAACTTTTCACATTTTCGACTTCTTCTCAAGAACCACTGGGTCAATTCCAACCAAACTTGCCCGAAAGCATTCTTGTATGAAGAGAATTTAAGTTTGTTAACAGGAAGTGTCGTGCTCTCTTTCGAAGGGAGATAATTAAGAAATCGTGAAAATTTGGTGGCAACTTTTAAAAATCTTTTTTCTCAAGAACATCCTTGTATGAAGAGAATTTAAGTTTGTTCACAGGAAGTGTCGGGCTCTCTTTCGAAGGGAGATAATTAAGAATTCGTGAAAATTTGCTGGCATCTTTTAAAAATCTTTTTCTCAAGAACCACTGGGCAAGAAAAGAAGAAACGCATGTGAAAGCTTCATTACATACTCTAGATTCAAGTTTGTTCATATCATAACCAGTGATTAGGGCAGGGCCACAGGAGGGAATCGAAGTTAAACATAGGAATATATAGGAGGTGTCTTTAAAAATCCTCTTCTCGAGAACAGCAAAGCCATGATTAGTCATATTATAATAGTTGTATAGTATCCTTAGGTAGTATAGATTCGAGTTTGTTCCAATCATGGTCCCTGGGGGTAGGCTAGGGTCACAACAGGGGGTCAAATTTACTACAGAAATATATATCTTTAAACATCTTCTTCTCTAGAACAGCTAAGCCATTATTAGTCATATTAATATAGAAGTATCCTCAGGTAGTGTAGATTCAAGTTAGCTAAAATCTTGGGGTAGGGCGGGGACAAAACAGTGGGTTAGAGTTTTACATAAGAATATCTAGGTGTAAAGATTAAGGGGCATTGAGCATAACGCATTGAAGATTTCAAATAATGGAATGACCTGACAACCCTTGAAATGGACTAGCCAAACCAAATGGTATATAAGAAAAAGAAGATAGCTAAAGATAGTGAATCAGCAATAAAGAAGGTTGGATATTCCATCCCTTATACTTCTGAGTATACTGAAACATAACTTTCATTTATATCAGTAGTAAGGGTTGAATATGCCGTAATTTATGACCTGTTTTCAAAGAGTTATCCCCATTTCTTTTTAATCAATAAAATTATTGAATTCCGCTTGTGTTTTATCGCATTGTGTTTTTCGTTCTTCAGACTTTTCGTTTATCATGAAGATAATGTAATTTGCTGTTTGTTTAACTTGTGCATTCGAAACCCCTCAATTTTCTTTTTTTACCAAAAGAAGAAACAAATGTTCGATTTTTTTTATTTCTTTAACGTTTTTTTTTTTTTTTTCAACAATACTTAGTATAGAGATAGAACAACGGTCTTAGGTTATCATATA